ATCGAACTCCTATGTCCAAATAAAGTCTGTTGTTCTTGAGTTCCCGTGTGTTTTTATGAATATTGCCACAAACTCACATTTCATTTATTTATTTATTTATTTATTTATTTATTTTTGTGACACATATTCTAATAGTTCTTAATAAGAACCCAGAGTCAGATATCAGGGGGTGAAAGCTGAGAGATCAGAGAAGCAGAGCGGCCAGCCACTAGAGACCTTTTACTCCCTCAGACCAAAAGGGGTGATCCTGTCCTCTGACTGGACTGAACTCCCGTCTCCACCTCCCTAGTGCTGGGATCACCTTTGTGTGAGCTCTGTTTCTCTTTTAGACAGATCCCTCTTGCCTCCTGAGTCTTGGGATTTAAAGGTTTGGCCACCGCTCCTTCATGGCTTAGCTCTGCACTCTGATCTACAGGCAAGTTTTATTTGTTAAACAGTATCACACGTTTTTAGCATTTCTAGCCTGATGGAGCATTTGTGTAGTGTGTTCTCGTCCACAGGTTGGCCGCTTCTCCCGGCTCTGGAAGTGGATGTAACCTATCCTCGTGGTAAGTACAAAGCAGACGTGACCACACACAAGCACACAGACTTGGGTTCAGTCACAAGTAACCCACTAAGTCCATGTTTGCTGCAGCGCATTTAGCTGGGGAAGTCAGTAGTCTGTAGTACATGGAGGAGGCTTTTTCTTTTAATTGCTGCAAGATTGTTTGATCTCAGCAGTGTTGAGTCTGTGTCTACGGAGTAGAGCTGGCCAGGTTCGACCAGTGAAGGAGGAGGCGTGTTTATAAGTGAAAGATTTGTTAAAATTAGTAAAGTACATATTTCTTTTCTTTTTTTTTTTTTTTGGTTTTTCGAGACAGGGTTTCTCTGTGGTTTTGGAGCCTGTCCTGGAACTAGCTCTTGTAGACCAGGCTGGTCTCGAACTCACAGAGATCCGCCTGTCTCTGCCTCCGGAGTGCTGGGATTAAAGGCGTGCGCCACCACCGGCCCGGCCTAAAGTACATATTTCTGAGCCAGGAATGCTGAGGTAGGAGGCTTACAAGTTCAAGGCCAGCCTCTGCTGTGTTTGTGAGATTGTTTCAAAAGAGAAGCCTGGTTGTTAGGAACACTAGCTGCTCTTCCAGAGGGCCTGGGTTGGGTTCCCAGCCCCACATAGTGCAGCTTCCAACCATACTAAAACCTTGTAAACCTATTAAGGACCTCTTACTAAATTCCAGCACTTGGGAGGCAGAGGCAGGTGGATCCCTTGAGTTCGAGGTCAGCCTGGTCTACAGATGGAGTTCCAGGACAGCAAGGGCTACACAGAGAAACCCTATCTTGAGGCAAAACAAAAAGGTAAGTACAAAATAAATGTGCTGTTTGTGTATATTGTATGTACCACACACACATCCACATATACTACCTCTTAACTGTAACTCACCCCACCCCTACCCCTGCTTTTTTGAGACAGTACTTACTCCTAAATTGCCCAAGCTAGCCTCAGACTCATTATGCAGATTAGGCTGACCTCAAACTCATGATCCTTCTGCCTTTGCTTCCTGTATGTTTGGGATTACAGATGTGTGCTGCTACGCCCATGTCAAAATACCGTTTAATTTTCTAATGTGGTGTAATACCATTGGGCCAATGGATAGTCTTTGTATCTCTTTGGTTCAGTGTTTTTAAACAATGGTCTAGACTTGAATTAAATAATTCAGCCTAGCAGAATAGAAAAGTTTTCTCCAGTGTAGACAGTTGAGCTCTGGCTGTGTAGGTGCTAGGGGAGCTGTCTACCACCTCATAAAATAGTTATACCTCATAAAACTGCCAGAGGTACCCAGCAGGGTATAATGCAAAACTGTTTCTTACTGAAGAGTACGATAAAAACAGCAAAAATTACTGCATTAGATGCAACTTCCGTGTGGTTTTTGGGGGTTGCTAATGATAACCGAAAGCATTTAATGGGGGGCTGAGAATGTTGGAGAGGAACAGACGGATCTGGCACTGGCGCATAGTAGCTGAGCGCTTCACGTCCTGATCTGCTGGCCGCAGGCAGATGCTAAACCCACCACAGTGACCCATCTCTGACAAGGTCACACCTCCCAATCCTTCCCAGACTCTGCTACTGCCTTGTGATTAACCACAGTTGGTTTGATTTTAGTCCATTTGAAACACACAGGATTGGAGAAATGGCTCAGTGGTTGAGAGCACTGGCTGTTCTTCTGAGGTCCTGAGTTCAATTCCTAGCACCACATGGTGGCTCACAGTCTCTATGATGAGATCTGGCATCCTTGTCAGGCCTGCAGGCATACACATAGACAAAACACTGTACATAATAAATCTTAAGGAAAAAAGAAAACACATAGTAAAAAGGTTTGTTGTAGCCAAGTGGCGGTGGCACACGCCTTAAATCCCAGCACTCAGGAGGCAGAGTGGATTTCTGTGAGTTCCGAGGTTAGCCTAGTCTTCAGATTGAATTCCCGGTCAGGCTCCAAAAACTACAGAGAAACCATCTTGAAAAACAAAGATTTGTCATGAATGTTCTTATGAGTAAAAACGAGTGTTTGTCTCCACCTGCCTGGGGCAGCCTTGCTGGAGAGGCCTCAGGTGGTCTGGGGGGGTTAGTGCTGCCTCTGCTGTTTAGTGGCCATGGAACTTGGAGCCTGAAGTCACCGTTCTGAACTTAAGGAGCTGCTGTCCCTTGATTAGGTTATTAAGAGACGAGAGAACTGGAAGAGAACATCTTCCCTTTTTTGTCAGGTAAGCGTAATCATAAAGAAGAAGGATGAGGGGTCGGTGATGGAAATGGTCTCAAATTCACTGTAGTGCCCACGGTATAGTCAAAAGACGCAGCCCAGACCTGTTGTCAGACACTGTTACTTCACTCTTTGTGGTCTCCCCAAGAAGCAAGGGACTGATGCGCAGATAACAAAATAGGAATGAAGTAGCCAACCCAGGTCACGCCTGCGAAGTGTCAGTCTCCAGAATTTTCTCTAGAACGAGCAGCCGTGTGGCACTCACCTGTACCGGCAACACTAAGGCATCCGGCAGCGGTTGCCGGTCACAGCCTTGTCCTTGTGGGCTCCGCCAACTCAGCGCACCGAAGGAAGGACGCCGCGGAGATACCAGGTCGTGACCTAAGAAGTTGGTAACACATGCGCTCTGGTTTCTGATTTTGCTACATCTGCAGAAGTGAAAAATGTTTTTCTCTAATCTGGGGAACTTTCCTTTTAGAGAATCTGAAATTAGCTCCCATCGTGTGTAATCTTGTTGAGATACTGCTGCTTGCTGGCACCGTGCTGTGGAGGGGGTGCAGCCCCTGAGCGCTCTAGACAAGTACTCAGCAATATCCCCCAGCACCCGGGAGTTCAAGGACAGCCAGGGCTGTACAGAAATCCAGTTATAATAAACACTTCAAAAGCCTGACTAATGGCATCAAGCAGGTCTTTTACTTTGAGTTAAAAAAAAAAAAAAAGATTTATTTTGTATACAACATTCTGCCTGCAGGCCAGAAGAGGGCACCAGATCTCACTATAGGGTGGTTGCTGGGAATTGAACCTCTGAGCCATCTCTCCAGCCCCGTTTTGACTTTGTGTTTACTCTTTTGGCCAGTGAGTGAGTGGCGGAGTATGTGCTGACTGATGGCTCAGAGGCCCCATCCATGGTGCATGGAGTTTTCACTGCACTTTGTAGCTTTTGGAATGGTGCAGAGGCCACGGAGAGGTATAATCCACTTTAACCTCCATTTTCTCCTCAGCCTGATCATGGCACATTTAAACTCCTGTCTGTGATATGTCTTAATGCATTATTTCTAGTACAATTGGACTAATGTTTTTAGTTTGATTTTCCTCCTAGTTTCTTTATCCCAAGAGCCAAGTCTATTTCAGTGCTCAAAGTGTAGCCCTGCCACTTTACACTTTATCCTTTTATTTTTTATTGAAAAAAGATATATATATATATATATTCCTTGTTCTTTTACTTGTTTTGATTTTCATATTTTGGGAGGTTTTGTTGGTGTTGTTTGATACAGGGTTTGTCTGTGTATCCCTGGCTGTTCTGGAACTCACTCTCTCACTATGTAGAGCAGGTTGGTCTTGAACTCACAGAGATCCACCCGCCTCTGCCTTCCAAGTGTAGGGATTAAAGGCGGAGCCACCACTGCCCAGCTTGTGTTTGGGAATTTCTTTCTGTTCTTGTCTTCAACAGATCAGGCTAAATGCCATGGCATTTCATGGGTTATTATTTCTAGTTCTATTTCAGATTTTGATATTTGATTGAATTCATTATGGAAAACAGATCATTCTTTTCTTGTACCTTGGATTGAGCTCTTCTGTGCAAATTGTTCTTTTTTTTTTATTTGAGACAGGGTTTATCTGTAGCCCTGGCTGTCCTGGAACTTAACTTTGTAGATGGAGTTGGCCTCGAACTCAGAGATCCCCCTCCCACCTCTGCCTCCACACCTGGTTATTCTTTTATTTTTAAGGATTTGTGTATGAGAGACAGACATATGGCAGAAGATTGAGACCAAAGGTCAGCATGGTGTGTCTACCTGTGGTTCTCCATCTTTATTTCACATTGTGTATGTGTGCAGATGTTCGTGGGTTCTGGAAGAGGGTGTCGTGAGTCATCTGACGTGGATGTTATGAGCCAAAATGAAACAGAACCTAACATTGGACCGTCTCTCCAACACCTTTACCTTAATTTTTAAGATGGTGTCTTTCACTGAGCCTAGAGCTCACTGGACTGGCTGGCCAGTGAGTCCCCAGGATTTGCCGTCTCCACATCCAAATGCTGGGTGACTGAACAACCATCACTTCACCCATGAGCCAGCTAGTCCTTAGGGCGTCTGTAGCAGCATCTCATGCTCTTTGGCAGAGGGAGGTCCAGAAGTAAATCTCAGATTTTTTTTTCATATTTATTTATTTATTATGTATACAATATTCTGTCTGTGTATGTGTCTGCAGGCCAGAAGAGGGCACCAGATTTCATTACAGATGGTTGTGAGCCACCATGTGGTTGCCGGGAATTGAACTCAGAACCTTTGGAAGAGCAGGCAATGCTCTTAACCACTGAGCCATCTCTCCAGCCCCCTAAATCTCAGATTTTTAAATAGGAAAATAGTGTGAACTTAGATTGAACACTTTAGAGAACACATTGCTTTATGCCATCTGTAATCTGTATTAAAAGCAGCTCAGAAAGAGAGCACGTTTAAACTGACTTTGTCCTAATACTGTAAGCCTTGTGTATTTCTAGATCTATAAAATAGGGAATATGGCTGGGTGTGGTGGTGCACACCTTTAATCCCAGCGCTCAGGAGGCAGACGCAGGTGGATCTCTGTGAGTTCAAGATGCGGTGTTAGGAACTGCTCCTGTTGGTGATGTGGAAGTTCCTGGAGGTTTCACATCACTGCAGCAGTCTAAAACTGTCGGGTCTGTCTTTGCTCCATTTCCATCCTGCTATTAATGACGGAACGAGGTGTCTCTATGATCGTGTGTGAGCGAACGGAACATCGCATTTATCTTCCAAATGCAGAAAAGCACAAGTTTCTCTAATTTCAGTAAAGCGGACTGAATTCGCTCATTCTACGTTGTAATCAGGGAAAAAGCTTTCTATTCTGTTGCTATTCCCCTGAACAGAAAACACCGCCAGCATCAAAAAACTAACCCCAAATGATCGCCGCTTTATATCCTATTAACCCACTCACAGCAAACTGACTTGAATGTAAAACACTTCCCAAAGAAACACGCCATGCTCCTGAGATTCAGACGTAAGTTTGGTTTCTCAGTATTGCAAACTCGGGAGTTTCTAAAAATTTCCACATACAATCAACAGCTTTCACGTCCAGCACAATAAATACACGGGCTTCTCAGACACCAGACCCTCTGTCCTGTCCTGAACACATGTGTCTGTGTGTGGTGGTAGTGAGACTCCTCTCCACAAAGGCCAGTGCTGCACAGTTGCTGCCTTGAGACCCCTGAACCTGGGGCCCCAATCAGGCATTGAGAAGTCCGTCATCTGAGTGTCCGATGGCGTCTGGGTTGGAGAGCGGATCCAGGTCTGCAAATAGATTGAACCAGGCTGACATGTCTTGGTTACCATTGTTGGGGGCTAGTGAAAAAGAAAGACATTGAAGAGATTCAGCTTTTGGCAATAATATTTTTGTACTACGTTAGTGATTTTTGACGCAGATGCTCCTTAATAATAAAGTTGGCTGACATCGATTCACTGTGTTCCCTTAAAGACAAATTGAAAATGCAGGAAATGTGTGCTTTGCTGAGCCTGAATTCAGTGTCTCGGGGATGGTGACAAGGATCATGTGAGAAACAATCTCAGGTGATTTATAGAAGGCTCTCAGGTAAGGTTGCAAGTTACAGTAACTTCCTCCTGAGAAAACTTGAACTCTGCTAAAGGCCTCTTTATTGGGGCTGGAGTGATGGCTCAGTGGTTAAAAGCACTGGATGCTCTTCCAGAGGAACCAGGTTCAGTTCCAAGGACCCACATGGCAGCTCACAGCTGTCTGTAACTCCAGTTCCAGGTAATCTGACTTCCTCACACAGACATACATGCAGGCAAAACACCAATGCACATAAAATATTTAGCCTTGCGGTGATGGCGCAGGTCTTTAATCCCAGGAGGCAGAGGCAGGTAGATCTGAGTTCAAGGCCAGCTTGATCTACACAGCCAGTTCCAGGACAGCCAGGGCTATACAGATAAGCCTTGTCTCAAAAAAACCTAAATAAATAATGTCATACTTGAAAAATGTTAGACATAAAGGAAAAAAACTCTAATTTTTATTTCTCTTTTGAGGCAGGCTCTTGCTGTGTAGCTCAGGCTGGCTGCAGATTTGTGATCCTCTAGATTACAGGTATGTTCCATCATGCCCAGTGCTTGTCAAAACATTTGCTAGCAAGGGCTGGGGAGATGGCTCAGCAGCTACATACATTACATACATGCCAAGTTTGATCCCCAGGGCGCACATAGTAGAAGGAGAGAAACACACATGTTTTTCCCTCTCTAAAGGTAACTTTAAAAAGGTAAAAAAAAAAAAAAAAGAAACAAAACAAAACGGCTGGGTGGTGGTAGCACATGCCTTTAATCCTAGCACTCAGGAGGCAGAAGCAGGTAGATCTGAGTTTGAGGCCAACCTGATCTACAGAGTGAGTTCCAGGACAGGCTCCAAACCACAGAGAAACCCTGTCTTAACCCCCACCCCCCAAAAAAGTTAACACATTTTGATAAGAACATTTGATAAGAAATCCAAGTGGTTTTCTTGTATGTTTTTGCGTGTGCTAGTTTGAATGTAATTGGCCCCCATAATCTCATTGGAAGTAGCACTATTAGGAGGATGGCTTGGTTGAAGTGTGTATGGCCTTGGTATGGCCTTGTTGGAGGAAGTATGTCACTGTGGCTGGGCTTTGAGGTTTCTTATGCTCAAGATACTACCTAGTGTGTCGGATGACTGCAAGATGTAGGACTCTGAGCTACTCCTCCAGCATGTCAGCCTGCACGCCACAACACTCCCTGCCGTGATGATGGACTGAACTCTGAAACTGGAAGTAAGCTCCCCCCATTAATTTTTTTTTTTTTTATGAGTTGTCATGGTCATAGTGTCTCTTCACAGCAATGGAAACCCTAAGACAGCTTGGTTTTGGTTTTTTGAGACAGGGTTTCTCTGTATAGACTTGGCTGTCCTGGAACTAACTCTGTAGACCTGGCTGGCCTTGAACTCACAAAGATCCGTCTGCCTCTGTCTCCCGAGTGCTGGGATTAAAGGTGTGCACCACCACTGTCCTGCGGTAGGTCATTTCCAAAGGCCCTTGTCTTTGGGGTACTGTATTCAAACACCATGACCAAAAGCAGCTTGGGGAGGAAGTTAGGACAGAGGCTGAAACAGGGCAGGAACCTGGAGGCAGATCTGATGCAGAGGCTGTTTACTGGCTTGTTTCCATGGCCTGCTCCATCTGCTTTCTTATCAGTCCAGAGATGGAACTACCCACAACGGGCTGAGCTATCCCCCATCAATTACTATTTAAGAAAATGCCCTATAGGCTTGCCTACTGCCTGGTCTTAGGGAGGAAATTTCCCAATTGAGTCTCCCTTCTCTTTCATTCTGGCCCATCCTTGTGAATATGGGTATTTTCTTCTCATTGTAGCCACAGTATTGCATTCTTATTTTTTTTTTTATGTGTTTTGTTGGGGCTGTCTTGTTGCTATTTTTGTTTCTGTAACAGTCTTGCTACGCAGCCCAGGCTGGCCTGGCTCATCCTGTTACAATGTTTGAGTACTGGCATCTGGGGATTAGAAGTATGTGTCATGGCTGGTGCACATGTCAGGTTTACATTGTTTCAATTATGTGATAGACTGAGTCCACTCTGTACTTGATGGATGAACACTCTACTTCTCAGCTGTCTCTGGGTCCTGGATTTCAGTTTCAGCTTGCATTTACATTAACACTTAATGAGTTAATTTTTTCTCCCTTTTTGTTTGTTTGAGACAGGGTTTCTCTGGGTAGCCCTGGTGGTCCTAAAACTTGCTCTGTAGACCAGGCTGGATCCGCCTGCCTCTGCCTCCCAAGTAAGTGCTGGGTTTAAAGGTGTGTGCCATCACTGCTTAGCATGAGTTAGTTTTTTTATTTTTTTGGTTTTTTGAGACAGAGTTTCTCTGTAGCTTTGGAGTCTGTCCTGGAACTCGCTCTGTAGACCAGGCTGGCCTCAAGCTCACAAAGATCTGCCTGTCTCTGCCTCCCAAGAGCTGGGATTATAAGCATGCGTCACCACCGCCTGGCTGTGTTAATTTCTAAGTTACAGATTTTTCAGTATTACTATTTACCCAGAGTTGACACCGCCTTTTCCCTACTCTTCCTTCCCTGACAAAGCAAAGCAGCCTCCGACATACAGGTAAACAGTGTCTTTCTCACGACCTCTGCTTGTTTTTGTTTGAGACTGAGACTCACTATATGGCCTAGGCTGGTCTTGAAATCATAAAGATCCACGGGCCTCCACACCCCGAGGGCTGGATTAAAGCCTGTGCCACTATGCCCGGTAGTGTCTTCACTTTTTGTGTTTGGTGAGCCATGACTGTCTTCCACAAGTCCACGGTAGTGTCTTCTTTTTTTAATATTTATTTATTGTGTATACAATATTCTGTCTGTGTATATGCCTGCAGGCCAGAAGAGGGCACCAGACCTCACTGCAGATGGTTGTGAGCCACCATATGATTGCTGGGAATTGAACTCAGGACCTTTGGAAGAGCAGGCAATACTCTTAACCTCTGAGCCATCTCTCCAGCCCCCATGTGTCTTCACTTTTTGTGTTTGGTGAGTCATAACTGTCTGCCACAAGTCCACATGCACTGTTTGTCCTCCGCCATCTGCACTGGAGCAGGCTGAGGAACAGGTACAGCTCCTAGCACGTCCAGGCCAGCACCACACACACAACCTATAGCTACATAACCGGGGGCCACTGGGACTGCAACCTTTGCTCCCTTTTTGGTTATTGGCTTCTGTGAGGTAAACAGGCCTCCTTCAAGTCCCGGCCATGATATACTCTGTTGCCACATGTGCAGAAGCAGTGACCAACTGACCACAGACTAAAGCTCCTAAACCATGAGCCACAATACAGCAGAATGCTAGTGTACAGAGAGAGGAAACAGATCACGGTCCAGGCGCTGAGGATGCAGCGAGCAGGTTGTCTAGCATGTAAGGCCCTAGGTTCTATACCCAGCACCACAGAGGAGGAGGGAGGAGGACCGGGAAGAAGGAAGCAGGGAGAAAAAAATTATGATTCAACAACTATAATAAACATTATGTAAAATTACTAATGATTGATATTATAGGCCTTCACCTATAATCCTAGTTCTCAGGACGTTGAGGCTGGAAAATCAAGAGTTCAAGGCCAGCCTGGCTACACAGTGAGGTCCCTGTCTGCCATTTAAATTATTTCAGTTCAGAGCTGGGTAGTGGTGGCTCATGCCTTTAATCCCAGAATGTGGGAGGCAGAAGCAGGAGGATCTCTGTGAATTCAATGCCAGCCTGGACTACAGAGCGAGTTCCAGGACAGGCTCTTAAAGCTACAGAGAAACCCTGTTTTGAAAAACCAAAACAAAACAAGAAACAACAACAAAAAAATTCAGAACACACAAAATACAGAACCAGGTGTGGTTTGCAGGGATTATGGTTGCCAAGTGTGGCAATGTTCTGAAAAACCAAACACTACATAGGGATACTTTATTTTTTCATTTTTTTAAAAATATTTATTTATTATGTATACAATATTCTGTCTGTGTTTATGCCTGCAGGCCAGAAGAGGGCACCAGACCCCATTACAGATGGCTGTGAGCCACCATGTGGTTGCTGGGAATTGAACTCAGGACCTTTGGAAGAGCAGGCAATGCTCTTAACCTCTGAGCCATCTCTCCAGCCCAATTTTTTTGTTTTTCTATAATGCTAAATTTGTTGAAAAAATTTAAAGTATTGCTATCATAAGAATTTTGAAAGTCTGCCCAACACTTGAACAATTTGAGCAAAAAATGATTAGGTTATAGTGATTATAAACTACAAAAAATAATTCAAATGAATAAGAGATTATGCATGGGAAGAGACAAGCCAGTTTAGAGCAGTGTAGACCAATCGTGTGTTCAGGAGGATACCACCTATCCTTACGTGGCAATCATCAGGCCAAATGATGTGCCCTGTCACCAAAACACAAAGCCTGTCCTTCCAGTGACAATTGGAGCATCTGAAGCAATGAGATCGGCGGATGGGGAAGCTGGATGGCAGCCCATGTCGGTACACAGCGCTAATCCCACAGATTTGAGGTTGTATCCGAGGTGCCTGGGTCATTCCTATCCAAGTCATCTTCTGAGCTGGGTGGCTAAGTGATGGAGCACATGCCTACCACGGATTATGCATGGCTTTTTCACACTATGAGGCAAAGTGGTCCTTTTCTAAATTCTCCTGAATTTTACTATTAATGAATGCAAAGAAATGACTTACATTTTAATTTCTTTGGACGCTGTGAAGGCAGTGGCAGGGTATCTGGGTGTTCTGATCCCTCTTGGGAGCCCCAGCCTTTGGGGGAGGACAGACAGAGAAACAAGGGTCAACAGCGAGATCCTCCTGTCTGTGCCAGAGAAGCTCTTGATTGGCCAAGCCCTCTCCTTAGTGTGTAGCTTAATAGAGAGTGAAGTGTGTTTATAGCTAAGGATATTGAGAGAGGTTTGCAGTTTCTACACTTTTTCTGATTTGTTGGATTACTGTTTTTCCTTCCTTTCCGTATTTGATATTAAGGATTGCTCGTTTACTGTGCTAGACATGATGGGCTAATAATGCCCATTTTTACTTTTAGGATATTAACAAATCCTTTAATCACTTTGCATATGCCTGTGGTTTGCCTTTAGATTCAGTGTGAACAGAAGCGTTTTACTATAAAGCACAGACATTGACTGCTGCTGGATGTAATGGAAGTTTTTCAGGACACAGTATCTGGGGGACGAGATACAAGGATATAAGAGAAACTACACAGCTATGAAAACAGGAACCAAGTCACTTCAGTCCCAGAGGATGTGAACACCACTGCCGTGTGTGTTAGAAAGTTCAAGGATTGGATTAGAAGACGTGAGTCTGAGATCACGTGAAGACCGAACGGGAGCTGAAGGAACAATAGTGGCCTTTTAATCCCAGCACTCTGTGAGTTACAGCCCAGCCTGGTCTACAGAGTGAGTTCCAAGACAGCCAGAGCTACACAGAGAAACCTTGTCTCAAAAATCCAAAAAAGGAGAAGGAGCAGAAGAAAGCAGCTGCTGCCGCCATGGTTCCCTCAGGGATCTGGAAGTACTTGGTGGGGCTGGAGAGATGGCTCAGAGGTTAAGAGCACTGACTGCTCTTCCAGAGGTCCTGAGTTCAAATCCCAGCAACCACTTGGTGGCTCACAACCATCTGTAATGGTCTGCTGCCCTCTTCTGGCCTGCAAGTGTACATGCAAACAGAAAACTGTACACATAATAAATAAAGAAAACATTTTTAAAAAAAGTACTTGGTGGTGGAAAATGGTATTTTGCAGTGAGTTGGAGGTGAGAGAGAAGATGCAGACATATTTATCCCAAAGGCCCCGCTGACACCAGAAGTGTGGAGGGGGAGCTGAGGGGTTGATGATGGATTCTTGCAGCAACACAGGCAACCGTGTGAAGTTCTGAGTGGACTGGAGCCAGACTGGGCTCAGTGTGACAACAACAGCCCAGGTCCAGGGGCAGACGACTCCCAACGTGTGGCCATGGACACAGGGCAGTGGGATTGCTGGTGACTCCTCCTCTAGACAGCCCTCTGCCCATATCCCCACCTACTCCAACTCCAGTGTCCTCCACTCCGGCTGCCCCCACCTCTTTTTCTCATTCTGAATCTTTTTTTTTTATATAGCTCTGCTTGGAGTCTGAGCAGTTATTTATTTTATTTATTATTATGTATACAGTGTTCTGCCTACACACCAGAAGAGGGCGCCAGATCTCATTACAGATGGCTGTGAGCCACCAAGTGGTTGCTGGGAATTGAACTCAGGACCTCTGGATGAGCAGCCAGTGCTCTTAACCTCTGAGCCATCTCTCCAGCTCCTCATTCTGAATCTTGTAGGTAAAAATATACACCAAATTTTTCTAGGGGTGGTGGTGGCATCATCTGACCCAGGAGTGGGGAACACATGGGTTTGGAGGAGGCAGCGAGGACACAGCCCTTGTTTCAGACTTCTTGATAACCACAGTGCTCTTTGGATTTGATGTTTTTTTCCTGTTGACTGCTGTAACTGCAGATTTTATCTTGTAGTGGTGAAGTTAAAATCAATTTCCCTTGATTCTAGCATCAATAACCGCAATAGTTTTGCTTAGCAAACACAAAGCACGCGTCCAAATGTCTCGTCAACACTTACTTTTGGAAGCTCCTTCCGCATGAAGGCCGAGGTCCAAGAGCTGTGAAGGGAGGAACTGGGAGGATCCCACCGGAGGCTCCTGGGCTGTGAGGCCAGCACTGGGGCTCCCGCAGGCTGTCTGGCATTCCTGGGTAAGCTCACTAGCACTCGAAGAAGTGGGGCTCAGGAGGCTGTTCAGAAATGCGAATTCCTTCTCAAAGTCATCTCCTTCCAGCGAGTCTCTAGGCAGAGCTTTTGCCACTGCTGGTTGAGAACAGAAAGAGGAAATGAGAGGAGGATGTAGAAGAACTAATTCTGCTTTTCCCTTATGGCATTAACATGATTTTAAACAACTATATTTGCACGGACGTTGGTGGCTCACTTTTAATCCCAGCATTTGGGAGGCAGAGGCAGGTGAATCTCCGAGTTTGAGGCCAGCCTGGTCTACAGAGAGGGAGTTCCAGAATAACCAGGTCTAAAGTCTCAATAAAACCAACCAAACAAAAACCCTTTCCTATACTCTTCCTCCTTCCTTGATGGCAGTCTCAAATTTGGCTCAGATTGTTCATCCTGTTACCAGTTTATCAAGAGATTTTAAAATTATAGTTGGATTGAGTCTGCGGTCTTTTCCCAGGGGTCACAAACTATGTAACAGTTCCCTTCTTACACCCAATGTGGTTCCTGGGCAATGAACTCAGTCATCAGGTTTGCTGGCAAGAGCCATTCCACCCACCCCCAACCAGACGTTTTGGATGGGTGTTGGGGATCCAAACTCAGGCCCTTGTGGACATCTGCGCAATCCCTGCCTTGTTTTCATATTATTTTATATGTATAGTGTTTTGCCTGCATGTATGTACATGTACCAGTGAGCATGGTTGTTGTCCATAGAGGACAAAGAGGGTGTCAGATCACATGGACCTGGAGTTACAGATGGTTGTGAGCCACCAAGTGGGTACTGGGAATCCAACCTGGGTCCTCTGGAAGAGCAACCAGCATTTTTAACCACTGAGCCATCTTTTCAGCTCCACTATTAATATTTTTTAGAGATTTATTTATTTATGTATATGGGTGCTTTTGTCTGCATGTACATCTGTACACTAGAAGGGGCACTGGAATTCATGAAACTATAATTCTAGAGAGTTGTGAGCCACTATGTGGCTCCTTGGAATTAACTCAGGACCCATTAAACACTGAGCCATCTCTCCAGCCTTCTGCTTGCTGTGGGATAATGTTTTTTGTACACTGTAAAGATTTATCACTCATATTGGTTTAATAAAACATAGATTGGCCAGTAGCCAGGCAGGAAGTATACACGGGGCAACCAAATAGAATTCTGGGAAGTCAGTCACCAGCCAGACACAGAGGAAGCAAGAGAGAATGCCTCACTGATAGAAGGTGCCAAGTCATGTGGATAAACATAGAATTAAGGGTTAACTTAAGTTGTAAGAGCTAGTTAATAAAATGTCTGAGATAGGGCAGGAGAGATAGCTCAGTGGTTAAGAGCATTGCCTGGTCTTCCAAAGGTCCTGAGTTCAATTCCCGACAACCACATGGTGGCTCAAAACCATCTGTACTAAGGCTTGGAGCCCTCTTCTGGCCTGCAGGCATACACAGAGACAGAATATTGTATACATAATAAATTTTTTAAAATGTCTGAGATAATAGGGCAAACAATTTGTAATTAATATAACCTGTGTGCTTTGGGACTGAACAGCAGTAAGACAGAAACCTCCATCTATACTCCTCTTAATATTTTTGTGTGTGTGGTTTCTTTTGTTTCTCAATACAGATTTCCTCTGTGTATCTTTGGCTGTCCTGGAACTCATTTTGTAGACCAGGCTGGTCTCAAACTCAACAGGGATTCACCTACCTCTGCCTCTCAAGTGCTAGGATTAAAGGTGTGCACCACCATGCCCAACCTCCTCTTAATAATTTTAATAAGAGGGGCTGGAGAGATGGCTCAGAGGTTAAGAGCACTGGATGCTCTCCCAGAGGTCCTGAGTTCAATTCCCAGCAACCACATGATGGCTCACAACCATCTCTAATGAGATCTGTCGCTCTCTTCTGACGTGCGGGCATACATGGAGACAATGTTGTATGCATAATAAATAAATAAATCTTTAATAAGAGTGCAATTCTGCTTCTTACTACCTAGCTCTGGAATTCTTTTCTCAAGCCATAAATCTTGGGTTTTCCTGAGTTGAGGTCCCCAAAACATTTAGGGGGCCTGTCTCTTCAGGGTGCTGGAGGTGACAATAGAGTTGTTCTTCTGTCCCTTATCACTGCAGAGAAAATGGTAGTTTCAAGCCAAGAGCACCTAAGGTCCAGCTACCTCTCCTCACAAGCACTCAGTTTCGAAGGGGCCACTCAGAGGTCAACCATCAAACAGAACAGGATTCATAACCCTCTTGCTGTACAGAATTCAACCCTAAGAACATTCTCAGAGATAGAGAAGCTGTGCTAAGAGCCCCAGGAAAAAGTCAGTCTTGCCAGACATATAGGCTAAACCATAGCCAGCTACTTTGCCTGAAAGAACCAGGGGGAAAAGCTCAAGATAGCCTCAAACTGGTGGCAATCCTACTGTTTCAACCTTAGAGTGCTGAGATTTCAGGTGTCAGTCACTGTGCCCCAGGGTGGAAACCTGAGGCAAACGTGGACGCAGGGCGCCATCTAGTGGTGAAGCAGTGGAAGTGTCCACTGGCTCAGAGAAATCACGCGGGGCGCCATCTAGTGGTGAACCAGTGGAAGTGTCCACTGGCTCAGAAATCACGCGGGTCGCCATCTAGTGGTCAACCAGTGGAAGTGTCCACTGGCTCAGAGAAATCACGCGGTGCGCCGTCTAGTGGTGAAACAGTGGAAGTGTCCACTGACTCAGAAATCACGCTGGTCGCCATCTAGTGGTGAAACAGTGGAAGTGTCCACTGGCTCAGAGAAATCACGCTGGTCGCCATCTAGTGGTGAACCAGTGGAAGTGTCCACTGGCTCAGAGAAATCACGCGGGGCGCCATCTAGTGGTGAACCAGTGGAAGTGTCCACTGGCTCAGAGAAATCACTCTGGTCGCCATCTAGTGGTGAAACAGTGGAAGTGTTCACTGGCTCAGAATTCACACGGTGCGCCATCTAGTGGTGAAACAGTGGAAGTGTCCACTGGCCCAGGAAATCAAAACTGACATTTTGGAAGGGCAGCCACAAAGTCTTCAATGTGAAAACACAGTTTGTGGATTAAAAGCCAGGCAACTGGAGTAGAAAATATGAAACTGGGGAAACAAGAAATGCAGCACAGCACTAAGGAGTCAACATCCAGTCATTGTAGTTCAAGAGGGAGGTGAGAAGGTCAAATAACCAGAGACTTCCCAGACCTAGAGGGGGCTATGAAGGCACAGGAAAGTCAGAGGAGGATATTCAGTAAACTCCCCAGTGTTAAAGCAAGTGTACAGGAAAGTCAGAGGAGGATATTCAGTAAACTCCCCAGTGTTAAAGCAAGTGTACATAAAGCCGTCTGGTTCTGCTTGGAGCAGCCTATGCCACAGAATACTCACAGCTCAGGAGATGGTGTGAGGTGTTCACGGTATCCATGGAAACTGGTAGCCAAGAATACCAGACCCAGAAAAGCTGTCTTGTAAAAATGAAAAAGCAAGCGAGGCGCTAGTGGCACACACGCCTTTTATCCCAGTATTCGGGAGGCAGAGGCAGGTGGATTGCTGTGAGTCCGAGGCCAGCCTGGTGTACAGAGCGAGTTCCAGGACATCTAGGACAACACAGAACCCTTGTCTTGAAAAGGGGGAAGGGGAAGCTAGCGAGGAAAGCAGTACACACATAACCCAGAAGGCATAAAACTCACATATTTTACAATTCTGTAATACAAACATGATGCATACGCTATGCGTGCCATTAGCAATGGCCTAACCAACAGATAGTGAAAACAACAGTAACTACATTGTTAAGAGAAAGGTGTAAGATGAGTCCAGCAGATATGGCACTTGCTGCCCAACAGACAAACATTTGATCCTGTGGACAAGCAGTAGGAGAAGGGAGTCAACTCTCACCTCTGCACGTGGACCGCGGCGTGCGAGCATCCACATACACAGTCCCACACTCAAATAAATGTAACTTTTTTTTGTCTTGTTTTTTTTTTTCAGGACAGGGCTTCCCTGTGAAACCCTGACTCCTAGAATTCTCTCTGGAGACTAGGTTGGCCTCAAACTCAGAACTCAGAACTTGGCGGCCTGCCTCTGCCTCCCAAATTCTGGGATTAAAGGCATGCACCACCACCAATTGCAATAAATGCAATTCTAAATAATCAAAAACAAAGACTGAAGCCAGGTACGGTGACATATATATATATATATATATATATATATATATATATATATATATATATATATATATTTAGGTTTTTCGAGACAGGGTTTCTCTGTGGTTTTGGAGCCTGTCCTGGAACTAGCACTTGTAGACCAGGCTGGTCTCGAACTCACAGAGATCCGCCTGCCTCTGCCTCCCGAGTGCTGGGATTAAAGGCGTGTGCCACCACCGCCCGGCCTGACATATACTTTTAATCTCAGCCGGGAAGCAGAGGCTGATGAACTGGATCTCTGAGTTCAAGATCACTCTGGTCCAAAGAGCAAGTTCCAGGACAGCTGGAGCTGTGTACAAGCAAGAACCTGTCTTGAAAACAAAACAAAACCCAAAGGTTGGGCACTATGGTGCACACCTTTGATTCCAGTACTTGGGAGGCAGAGGCTGGTGGATCTGTGCTAGTTTGAGGCCAGCCTGGTCTAAACAGAGATCCTAGCTCAAAAAATTAGGATATAAATTGAGACATCAAAAATTCAAAATAGGCCTGAGGGTGTAGCTCAGTTGATAGTGTCTTGCTGGGCATGTACAAGGCCCTGGGTTCAGACCCTAGAACTACATAAGATAGGTATGTTGGCACACCTCTATAATTTCAGCTCTCTGGAAGCAATGTAAAGAGGATCTTAAGTTCAGTGTCATCTTTAGCCAGTTTGAGGCCATCTTGGGCTACAAGAGATTCCACAAATGTAGACGGTTTTCGATTTTTTTGTTTGTTTGTTTTTCAAGACAGGGTTTCTCTGTGTTGCTCTGGCTGTCCTGGAACTCATTTTGAAAGAGATCTGCCTGCCTCCCTGAGTCCTGGGATTAATTGTGCACCACCACTGCCTGGCTGGGATTTCATATTTTTAATATTTATGTATATGAATGTTTTGCCTAATATGTGTGTGTGCGTGTGTGCATGCGTGCACCATATGTATATCTGGTTCCTTGATCTGTGAGCTGCCATGTTGGGTATTGGAAACCAAACCCAGGTCCTCTGAAAGAATCAGCAAGTGCTCTTAAAACTTCTGAGCCACCTCTCCAGCTTCTAGAAGATTTTTTGAAACTAGTATTTTCACTCTTTGTGATCAGTGTTGAGTTGTGACTATTACAATATTGCATCTTTTAAACATAAGTCTTAAGATAATCCACAACGCAAAGACTGCAGCTGACAAACCAAAACTGAAAGGACTCAAAGCACACTCTGCCCCTCAATGGAAGAATGGATAAAGAAAGTGTAGAACATCTACACATTAGAGTACTACTCAGCGGTAAAAAAAAAAAACAATGACATCTTGAATTTTGCATGCAAATGGATGGAAATAAGAAACGCTATCCTGAGTGAGATAACCCAGACCCAAAAATATGAATATGGTATGTACTCACTCATTAGTGGATTTTAACTATAAACAAAGGACATTGAGCCTATAGTTCACGATCCTAGAAAAGTTAATAGGGTGAACCCAAAGAAAAACATCTATAGATCCTCCTGGAAATTGGAAGCAGACAAGATTGCTGGGCAAAAGTTGGGAGCATGGGAGTGGGTTGGGAGGAAGGGGAGAGAGAAGGGAGAAGAGGAGGGTTGGGGAGAGCTTGCAGGAGTGGGATGGTTGAGACGGAGGAAGGGCGGATATGGGAGCAGGGAAGGAGAGATCTTAATTGACAGAGCCATTTTGGTGTTGGCAAGAGACTTGGCTCTAGAGGGGATCCCAGGTATTCACGGTTATGTCCCCAGCTAGGACCCTGGGCGGTGGAGGAGAGGGTGCCTGAACTGGCCTTGTCCTGTAATCAGACTGATGACTATCTTGAATATCACCATAGAACCTTTGTCCGGCGACAGTTGGAGATAGAGACAGAGACCCACATCAGAGCACTGGACTGAGCTCCCAAGGTCCAGTTGAAGGGCGGAAGGAGGGAGAATATGACCAAGGAAGTTAGGACAACGAGGGTTGATCCACCCACTGAGACAGTGTGCCTGATCTAATGGGAGCTCACCAAATCCAGCTGGACTGGAACTGAACGAGCATGGGATCAAACTGTACTCTCTGAATGTGGCTGACAATTGGGGCAGACTGAGAAGCCAATGATAATGGCACTGGGATTTATCTCTACTGCATGTACTGGCTTTTTCAGATCCTATTCTATTTGGATGCACACCTTCCAAGGCCTGGATGGAGCGGGGAGGGCCTTGGACTTCCCACAGGGCAGGGTATCCTGCCCTCTCTTAGGACTGGAGGGGGAGGGAATGGGGGAACAGGAGGGAAGTGGGAGGAGGGGAGGAAGTAGAAATTTTAAATGGTATTATTTATAAAGTAATAAAAAATAAAACTTTTGGAAAAAGAAAAAGTGACAAATTATTTTGACATTAAAATATAGCCATTTCAGGTGAAGGCGTCTGCCATCTTACCTGGTTCTCTCTCACCGCTTTCTTCCTCTTCTGACAAAGCTACCCTACAGTAAAAACAGAGACATTAGTTAAAATACGTTTGAGGATCATAGCTCTCAGGTTCATGTAATTATAATTTTAATTCAGGAGGTACATAAAACTTGTCTGGTAGGTCAAGTCTGTAACAGAGTATGCCCTATTTCTATAGATTTTATATATCTGTACAGACTGTAAAAAGCTTTATTCTTACCTTCTTTTTCCTTTGTTATGGGGGGGGGATTTCAAGACAGGGTTTCTCTGTAGCCCTGGCTGTCCTTGAACTCACTCTGTAGACCAGGCTGGCCTCAAACTCAGATCCACCTGCCTCTGCTAGGATTAGAGACCCGCACCACCACCGTCTGGCTCCTTGTTCTGGTTTCCTACCCCTTATTTCAGGAAACACTAACTCAGTCTTTATCAGGATTTTAGGCACTGGACCAAAACAAGGCTGAAAATTCCTTATTTGGAAATTTGAACTCCAGAATGTCCACAGCCTTTTGAACACCAAGATGATAGGAGAAATGGAAAACTTCGTTACCACGAGGCTTGTTTTATGAACACACGATTTAAAGGAGAGTAACATTGCCTCAGGTCACACATAACTCACACCAGTTCCTTTCCTGTCTACCATCTCTTCTTTTTAGTAAGGACATCTAAAAGAGCAGGGAACATGTGTAGAATTATGCGGAAATTTCTGGAGTCTTTGCTCTCACTGAAGAAACCACTGCATGCCAGCAAGCTGACTTTACTGTGTTTTAGAGTATTGCCTATAGACTTTGAACCTTATTATTTGAATTAAAATTATCCTAATCAATTAAAAATATATAAGAAAGCATAAATAAATTTTATGTTTAGACTTGGATCCTATACCTAAGATATCTCAGTATGTTTATGCAAATATACCAAAATTCTTTTTTAAAGTCTGAGAGTTGGAACACTTGTACAAACACCTCGGGTAAGCGCCCTTGCTCTGTGTATCCCAGAGCTTCTGGCTGCAGAGCGTGGTGTTCCATTTTAAACCACTGGGGCCTGGGGTGGCCTTTACTTAACTTGTAGGAACTAAAATAGAGGAGACAAACACCCCACTTTGTGGCATTCTACTTTAAATAATAAAGTGATATTTGCCAAAGAAGATAAGACAAGCTAGCTGATGACATCCCTAGTCAATGGTCACTTCAGTAGGTATCTAATATGCTGAGTTAGAACGCCCTGTAACAGGAGTGGAGCATAGAAACAGGAGAGATTGAGCTGTTCTTCCTGGGCATGGCTTTGCAGCTGTCAGTACCGAAGGCTTTTAATACGTCTTAAAAGACACTTAAAGACTAATACAGTAGCAACTTTAAAAAATACTAAGAACAGGGGAGCTGAAGAGATGGCTCAGTGGTTAAGAGCACAGACTGCTCTTCCTGAGGTCCTGAGTTCAATTCCCAGCAACCACATGGTGGCTCACAACCATCTGTAATGAGGTCTGGTGCCCTCTTCTGGCCTGCGGGCATACATGGAGGCTGAACACTGTGTACATAATAAATCTTTAAAAAAATACTAAGAACAAAAACAAAAAAATCCTTTCAAAGTAAATAGAAACTTAGGATTTGGAATGAAGTTTCCAATGATAGTATACATATATGATATGTTTAAACAACTTGGATGAAAATGTTTGGGACTTTGCTTGATTGATAAAAGAATAGCTTTATACTATTGAAGATGCATAAGATTTTCAATAAAGCTTCTCTGTGAGAATAAAAAAACTCCATTCAACTATTTAGTCCTGACTTATTGTTGTTTTGTTTTTGTTTTTTGAGACAGGATCTCACTGTGTAGCTCTGATTGACCTGAAACGCACTCTGTAGGCCATGCTGGTCTCCAACTCACAGAGATCCACCTGCCTCTGCTTCCTGAGTGCTGGGATTAAAGCTATGCACCACTACTTGGCCTCATTCATGATTTCAAATGTCAACATGGAATCAAGGTAAGCTTAAATTATATGTTTTATACATACAGACATTTAGTTTGGATTCCCCAAAGAGAAATAATATGGTTGGGAATCACCACTCAACAGTACCTGTCACTACCAGCAGAGTTTGGCGCTGTCTTGGGCAGCAGAAGAACATGGCCGAGCACAGGGAAGCGGGCAGAGTAAGGCCTTAGCCCCTAGTCTCAGCTGTGTCCTTGGAGATGGGCTTCTCTAAGTGGCTAAGCTGGGCCCTGCCCCTGCTCCTGCTGTCCCTTCCAGGCTCCCCAGTGGAACTCAGTTCTCGGCACAGTGCACAGCCCTCCTCGTGAGAGTCTGGAGTCGTCACCACAGCGTTCGCTGACTTACTTGTTGAGGTTTGCAGTAAGACAGCTGCCTTCTGCGTCTTCTTCCTTGCTGTCTGCAGTGACATTGCCTGGTTTGTCTTGTAGTCGCTAAGGATATAAAATGTAATAAGTAGATTGAAAAAAAAAATCTATTCCTTTTTTCAAACAAAAGGAGCGTAAAAACGTTAGACAACCGTATAAAATAGAAATAGTTCTGAATAGAGAGCCACGAGAATGTGGTTGGTGTAATTTGCACTGAGCCCCTTGCACACCGTTCTTCATCCTGGCAACCTGTGGTGGGTTCAAGGAAAACACACTGCGCTGTTGGCCTGCACTGCAGTCCTCAGCACATAGCTAAACATGTTCCACTTCCATTCTGAGGAGAAATCAGCCACATAATTTTGCCTAAATAACATACTATCAACTGAAGCATTTATTATATAAAAATTTAAAAAGCAACTTTAGCAGGGCAGTGGTGGCGCACGCCTTTAATCCAAGCACTCGGGAGGCAGAAGCAGGCTGATCTCTGTGAGTCTGAGACCAGCCTGGTCGAGCTATTTTCAGGACAGGCTCCAAAAACTACAGAGAAACCCTGTCTTGAAAAATCAAAAAAAAAATTGCAACAAACAAACAAACAACCTTTAATCAAGGGCAGCCTTGGGGCTGAAAGGTGTTATCTTGTCAAAAGACTTTTAAAAATGAGTGGGCTATGGTGGTTTGTGCCTTTAATCCCAGTGTAAGTCCTCTATGAGTTCAAGGCCACAGTAAGACCCTGTCTCAAAAAAGGAAAAACTTAAAAGATGTAGTGACATTTCATTTGTATTTTAATGAATAAAGCGTGCCTGAAGATCAGACAGTAAAACAGCCCCACTGGTCAGCAGTGGTGGCACACACCTTTAATCCCAGTTGCCACACTAGTTTGCCACAGAAGCCAGGCGGTAGTGGTGCACACCCTTAATCCCAGCACTAGAGAGGAATATAAAACAGGAGGAGACAGGTCTCAGACATGGTCTCATTCTGAGATTCCTGGAGGCAGGATCGCCATTCTGGACTGAGGTAAAGGTAAGAGCCAGTGGCTGGCTGCTTTGCTTTTCTGACCTTCAGGCTGAACCCCAATATCTGTCTCTGGTTTTTTATTGATCATGCTAAAAAAGGAGAATGAAGAAATGAATCAGCAGTTCAGAACACATGCTGTCTTTCCAGAGGACCCAAGTTCAATTCCCAGCACCCACATAAGGCGGCTTGCAACCACCTCTAACTCCAGTTCCAGAGTGATCAGACACCTCTAACGTTTGCAGGCACCCGTGTACGCGCATACACATGCATGCGCGCGCACACACAGACACTTCATCCAGCTGAAGCAAGAATGGCAAGTTAAAAGGCACTTAAAGCTGGCCCATCAGAACGGAAGGAGTGACCATCACAGCATGACCTTGTTGAATAGCACACGTGACTGGGCGCTGTGAAATACGGAGAAACTAATCACGTGTGAGCACACTTTTCACATATCCTCTTTTGTTTCTCTGTGAACCTGCAGTGGCACCATGCCAGGGCCACGCTGTGTGATGTGAGCGCCAGGAACCTCAACTGTGACATCAGGGTAAAGGCAAGAAGGAAATCTGCCTTAAACTTCTGAAACTGACAGGCAGGTAACCTGGCCTGCCTTTCTATCCCTTGTTACTTCAATTGTTTTCCTTTTTGTAGATTTTGATAGCCCCTGTGTATTTTCAGTGTTTTGTTTGTTTGTTTGGGTTTTTGACACAGGGTTTTCTCTGTGTAAAGTTGGCTGTCCTGGAACTCGCTCTGTAGGCCAGGCTGGCCTCAAACTCACAGAGATCCACCTGCCTCTGCCTCCCAAGTGTTGGGATTAAAGGCGTGCGCCACCACCGCCCAGCATATTTAATTTTTTTTAGTAAATTTCATTCTATACATCTTTTTAAGAAAGACTTATTCTTAATTGTGTGTGCAGATGCCACAGAGCCTAGAAGAATATGATGTCAGGCCCCAAAGCTGCTGGAGTTATAGGAAGCTGTGAGCCACCCAACATGGATGCTGGGAACCAAACTTGGGTCCTCTGCAAGAGCTGAACTCTTTTCTTTTCTTTTCTTTTCTTTTCTTTTCTTTTCTTTCTTTCCTTCCTTTCTCTCTTTCTTTTCTCTTTTCTTCCCTCCCTTTCTTCTTCTTTCTTTCCTTCCCTCCCTTCCTTCCATATATATATTACTGAGTCACTGCCTCCAGCCCCGCGTCTCCTGTGTTTCTACTCTCCTTCCCTCTCCTGTCACACCAGTACCTCAGCGTGCAAGGTCCCTGTGTATTTTAGTGCAACTGGTGACTTCAGAACCTAGAGGGTACAGATCCTAAAGAGAGGGGAAAATGTTTCCCAAGGTTTCATGAATTTGGAACTTAGCTTAGCTAAGGGCAGTTTCGGTGTTATTACCTAATAAAGTGTGATACAGCTGAAGAAGTGAACCCAGGAGACATACCTTGAGAGCGACGAAGTCATATGGATGAAAGTCAGCATAGGCCTCCTGGATTTGGGACATCATTTGAGCTGTTTTCTCCCAGAACCCAAGCAATGTTCTCTGCGGAAAAAGGAAAGAGAACACTACAGTCCTGCCCCTTCTGAGACTGTTTGAGGCTATAGTGTTCAACAGCAGACAGGAACTGATCAAACTGCCCAAGTATGGGGAACAGAAGGAACTATGGCTCACAGTTCTCCACTAAGGTTAGCACCCGAGTCTGCATAGACATATACCAGAGAAGGACTATAGCTCATAATAAGAGAAAGAAAACCAATGTACTCCAAAGGCATAAGAAAATGAATCTCCATGTGTGTAATCTTTATGTTAGCATATATAAGCATTTATGTGTGTGTGCTTACAGAGGTCAGAGAACACCTTGAGGGAGTTGGTTCTCCCCTACCATGTGGGTCCCAGGGATCAAATTCAGGTCATCATGCCTGAGAGCAAGCATCTTCACATGTTGGGCCATCTTGGCCCATGAGAATCTTTTTTTTTTTGAATGTTTTGTTTTGGTTTGTGAGACAGGGTCTTACTATGTAACCTTGACTGGCCTGGAACTAGCTCTATAGACCAGGCTGGTCTAGAACTCGGAGATCCACCTGCCTCTGTCTCCTGAGGGCTAGTATTAAAGGTGTTTGCCACCTATAAGAATCTTTTCATTACAGAGAATATTTCCTACTGAATTTGGCCTTTCATTAAGGCTTCAAGAAAGACTTGACCCTTCAAAATGTGTTACTTAGCTAACTCAGGTAATTTGTAATCTTTCTTGTTGCTTCAAGATTCCTGTCTCAAGACAAAGGCTGAATAGCGAGAACAGAGAAGCACCGAGCTATTAGCTGTTGAACTACAGATCGTCAAGGCTTTCGTTTCACCTCATCTTTTCTTGAGTCTTGAATTCCACAGCACTAAATGGAATTAAGCATATTGCTTTAAGACAGCAATGAATAACCACCTCCTTCCACTATTCCTTCCTTATTCAAATACAGTTTCTACTTGCTGTTTTCAAATACACAGCAACCTCAGCAACTACTACTTGTAAATAGCCAGCATTCATAGTAGATTATTCACGTGACTTTAGGGCAACATAATTCACGTTGGGGTATTTGTTTAACAATGCAAAGATGTGTTGCATTTGTTTATGTTGTGGAATATTTGTTTAATTATGTAAATATGTCTTGTATTTGCTTAACCATGCAAAGATGTGTTACATTTGTTTATGTTTAGAATATTTGTTTAACTATGTAAAGATGTATTGCATTTGTTTAATATATAAAGATGTGTTACATTTGTTTAACTATATAAAGATGTGTTGCATTTGTTTAACAACCTTGCCTGTCTAAGTCACCTGATTGGTCTAATAAAAAGCACAATGACCAATAGCAAGGGAAGAGATATAGGTGGGACTTCTGGGCAGGGAGAGTAAGTAGGAGGAGTTTAGGCTCAGGGGAAGAAAGAAAAAGAGATGGCAGGGGCCAGACAGACAGACATGGAAGAAGCAGGAAAAGCAGGATATACAGAATGAAAGAAAGGTAAAAGCCCCGAGGCAAAACATAGATGAATAGAAAGAGGTTAAATTAAGTTAAAGGAGCAGGTGGAGCAAGCCTAAAGCTGAGCCTTCCTAATTAATATTAAGTCTCTGTCTTTATTTGGGAGCTGGTTGGCCGCCTAAGGAAAATTTCGCTACAGGTGAGACTTGAGAATTTAGTCACGTCGGACGGCAGATCAAAGGAGTACATGATCTCGACTGGGCTAACTTAGGTTTTTAAGCCCAAATTATCATTTACTTAATTGTCATTGGTTTCATTTTATTTATCTATCTATCTGTTTATTTATTTAGGTTTGTTGAGACAGGGTTTCTCTGTGTAACAGCTCTGGCTGCCCTAGAATTTGCTTTGTGGACCAGGTTAGCTGCAAACTCAGAGATTCGCCTGCCTCTGTCTCCTGAAATTAAAGGCGTGAGCCATCACAAATGAACCTTGCTTCATTTTCTTTACTTGATACAAAAGTTTTCAACCTTTTTGGACTATGGTGTTCTTTTTGCTTTTTTGTTTAGTTTGGTGACGGAGTCTGGATGTGAACCCTCAGTCCTCCTGCCTGTGCTCTGGAACGCTAAGATTACCTGGCTGCCCCTACAGCTGGCTGCACCTACATTATCACTGCCTCAAACAAAAGTATATGTAACCAGAGTTTATGAGCCTTAAATTTCACCTCCTCACCATTTTTCCTTTCTTTTCCTTTTTTAAATTTTTTTTTTAATTTTAATTTAATTTTCTTTTTTTGAGACAGGGTTTCTCTGTGTGGCCCCAGCTGTCCTGGAACTCAATTTATAGACCAGGTTGGTCACTAACTCAGAGATTGGTCTGCCTCTACCTCCCAAGTGCTGGGATTAAAGACTTGCGCCACCACTGCCTGGTTTACCGTGCCCACTTTCGACCTCAGAAAGTCTCTAAGTCTTTCTGCTAGGACCCCAAAGAGGACAGTGTCTCTCGCAGTCAGAGCCTTATGGTTGGTTCTCTGTCTCATTTACAACTGTCACTGGAACCTGACCAATGACATCAATTTTCTTGTACCATTAGAGAACTTGTAAAAAGGAATCCCACTACTTCTCCTCTGCGAGAACGTGCTGACCATGAGTGTGTGGGGGGTTACCTGGTAAGTAGTGAGAGAATGAGACAGCATATTGCAGCGACTGGCTCCAAGCAGATCCACTTTCTGACAGACATCCATCTTTAACTTGTCAAAAGAACCTTTGCTATTTCTCACTTGGATCTGTACCTGCAATCACAAAAATGTCCATTATTACCAGTACCAAAAAATGGAAATCTAATGGGCCTGAAATTAGTTTCTCCAGAACACGGGATTGTAACAGTTTCTTTCTCTGTCATTATCATTCCGTGATTAGTGAGAGAGACTTTAGCTACTTTTTGACAATTGTAGGCAATTCTTTCTTATATTTATCTTTTATATATTTGCTCATTTGTGTAGCAGGGGGCATGTGTGTGTGGAGGTCAGAGAACAGCATGTGGGAGTTTGTTTGTCTCCTTTCACTATGTGGGTTCTGAGGATGGAATTCAAGTTCTCAGACTTGGAGGTGGGCGCTCCAACCCTCAGAGTCACTTCCCTGGCATCCGATAGCTAACTACTGGAAAATCATTTGGTTAAGAAGAAAACAAGTGCCCCAGATAAAAATAGATGCTTGAGATGTTTAGGATATGTACTGTATATAGTAAGAGTAGAAACAAAATTTGGAAGGGCTAAGGAGGTGGCTCAGTGGGTAAACGCACTTGCCACCAAGCCTGGTGACTTGAGTTTGGTCCTCGGGACCCACACAGTAGAAGGAGAGAACCAACTCCCAGTTGTCCTATGTCAATGACATGTATGCTGTGGCATGTGTTCTCACACATACAACATAAATGAATAAATGTAATAAAAAGTTTTAGGGAAAAGCATATTCTAGTGATATATGTGCATTTCACAAGCAATAAATAAAATAATAAATTTAGAAGAAGAAGTAGAAGATATGGTCAAATGTTGGGAGGCATTACTATTTCTAAATCATTGAGGTATTTATAGATTTAAATTGTTTCTTAATAAATGTCATCGGACAACATAAACACTGACTTTGAAATGTTTATTCATTGACTTAACTAAAATTTACAAGTTGTCCAGTATATGAAGCACCATTCTGAAAACTGAGCTTTGGTGACAAACAAAACATGTGTTCACCTCACCGCTGTCAGGCAGGGAGGGGCAGAGAAAAGGGAAATCTCTGCAGGAGGGACTCTGAGCCTGGAAACATACTGAAGACGTGAACAGAATTTGAACGACCATTGAACCACCAGGAAGGCCCTTGGCGAGCTGGGGTAAAGTTTGCACAGGAAGGAGGGGACAGCTACACTAAGACTCTTGGGGCGAGTGGCCCAGGACAAGGGGCAAGGCTCAGAGGAGCAGGGCCTTGGTGAGAGGGGTCAAGTGTCGGAAAGCTGTGCGGGGGATGAAGGGCCAGACCTCTGCAGGATTCGGAAAGGGGACAGACAGGAATCTGTACTTTTGTCTTATGTACATGTAACAGTCTGAAAATACGGAATTCAGCGCTCCAGAGCTTTCTCAGTGCTGTCCAGACACGCTCAGGAACTAAATGCTGTCGTCAAGGGTTACCAGGGAGTAGGACTAGAGGCTGCTCTGGCTGCAGGAGGAGCACTTATTTCACAGGACTGCTGACAGGAGCCAGTGAGCTGTGCTTGCTAGAGTTATGTCATCGTTTACAGCTGAGAACACACCACCACCACCACCACCACCCTATCGCGTGCAGTGTGTACACCTGTAGTCTCGGCTCTCGGGAAACTAGGCAGGAGTGTGCATTCCTGCCCAGCCTGGGTTAGACAATGAGATCTTATTTTTTAAAAAAAGGCTAATATTTTATTATCACTGTTAAATTATTCTGCATTAGTTCTCTATGTTAGTGTCAAGAAAAGGAGGGCTGGAGAGATGGCTGCTCTGCTCTTCTGGAGGCCGCACAGCCATCTCTAATGGGATCCAGTGCCCTCTTCCGGTGTGCAGACACGCAAACAGAAGCACCCACATACAAAAGAGACATGAAGAGACCCAAAAGAAAGGAAAGGGATACATTTTCTTACTTTTCTAAACTTTTCCATTTGTTTTAAGGTGTCTGGGTCGAGCTCCTGGGATGCATCCTTCATCCACAGCAGGGCTCCTCTGTATTCCGTGCGAGCCTGCTCCATACGATTAATGGTCATCAAAGTGTCAGAAACGGCCCTCTGGCTGAACGTTGCTACTTCTTGCTTAAGACGAGACAGGGGAGTGCACAAGGCCAATCTAATAGTAGAGAGGTAAAGATCAGAGGATTGCACATCTGTAAACAAAATTCTAGACACATTGCAACATGTATTTACCACGATGATGAGTCACAAGCATGCCTACAAGATTGAGAAAGCAGACTGAGTTTCTAGGAGAGATGTTCCTACAGGTCCACCCCTTTTAACTTTAGGAAATATGACTTGGTAGCATTGCGGGTGTTGATCCAGATAAATAACCCAGCAGGCACGCTACCATCTAAAAAGAGTTCTGAGACCACAAAGGACTCCTCACAGAGCGCTCAGTTGGCAAGTGTAGGGAGAAGCAGGGCTTTAAAGGTTATATTAAAATGCTAAGAGAACTGAGGAGGATACAGTTCTTGACAGCTGAGGACATGAACACAGGTGTGTAAGGAGCACAAATCAAACCCAGCTATGCTAAGGCTGCTTTCAATACAGTGGCTCAATTCTTTTAAGGAGGATTTCTACACTAATACAGCACTGCAGAATAAAGTTGGGCCAGACATCACACTGCAGAACCCGATGAGGTCAGTGTTCTCATTCTTTCTGTATTACAAGGATTTGAGCTGTATCTAGAGAATGTGTGTGTGTGTGTGTGTGTGTGTGTGTGTGTGTGTGTGTGTATGAGGTAGTCTTTGTAATACAGATCTTTATGCTAAACACAGTGAAATAATAAGTAGAAAGCATATAGTTAAGAAAGAAGAAAAACCAGGCTGGGTTTGGTGGGACAGGTCTTTAATCCAAGCACACGGGGAGGCAGAGGCAGATGAGTATTTATGAGTTCAAGGCTAGCCTGGGATACATAGTGACCTTTTCTAAAAAAAAAAATAATAATTAAATTGAAACTTTTTAAATTTTTTTTTATCATAGATAGTATATGTCAACAAAAGTGACTTGAGGGGCTGGAGAGATGGCTCAGAGGATAAGAGCATTGCCTGCTCTTCCAAAGGTCCTGAGTTCAATTCCCAACATCCACACGGTGGCTCACAACCATCTGTTATGGGGTCTGGTGCCCTCTTCTGGTCTGCAGGCATACACACAGACAGAATATTGTATACATAATAGATATATATATATATTTTTTTAAAAGTGACTTGAGGAAGGTGTAGTGCAAGGTTCCTGTGTCCACTGGGCTGCATGAGGCCCGGGGGTGACTGTCAGCATCCCAGAAAACAGAAAGGGAAAAAACAGTAACACGTATTTTAAATATTAACCATTCTGTGACTCTATTATAGTAAACCATTTGAGAAATAGAAAGGTAGCTCTAAATGCTGCTTTTAGGGATCAGGCAACGAAGAACATTAATTTTTAAGTAATTCTTTTGAGTGCAAATGAATAATTAAAAGCTAGGCATAAAATATATCTCCCCAAACACATTTCTCGTGAATGCCTTATTACAAGCTCTCTTTGCTAACTGTGGGAACTGAGCACACGCGTCACAAGCAGATGCGACGACAGTGAAGGAGGAAAAGCCGGGTGAACCTTTGCTTGGCTGAAGAGCACAGAGCCTTGCCAGCTGCGTTCATCATTTTACCAGCTTGAGTGGTGTCCCGTTCTGCTTGGAACTTTAAAAAGAGCCCGAGTTCATTTTCTTCCTCTGATATAACTAGAGAAAAAAAAATCACAGTTTAGTTCATTGCTTCGTTTCATCGTTTTCTTAAAACATACACTAGGCAGGAGACACGATTCTACAGGTAAAGGGGCCACCAATGCTGACGGCTTGAGTTCAATCCTTGGGACCCACATGTGGAAGGAGAGAACTGACCCTGCACACACGTGCTATGGCAGACACACACACGCGTGCACACACACACATATACACACACACACACACACACACATACACACCACAGGATGGTTGCTTTTTTTATACAAAGTATTTGTTTCTTGTTTGAAATTGAATTGTCTTGGTTCCCACTCTGGTTTTTTTCCCAGTGCTCCCGATCTTAGACCCACAAACATCTACAGTCCTGATGTCACCTGGTGCATTACCACCCAGCATGGACCATGAAGGGATGGTCCAGAGTGTGCTGCTTGATGTGAGAAGAGATGGAGGAAAAACAGACTTTGACTAATCTGACTACTTTCATATCTGTCATAGCTAACAAAAAACAAAAACAGCGGGGCCGGGCTAAGAGTGGGTGGAACTCGAAACATGTGTTCTGCACACGTGAGGCCCCATGTGTACACAGAAGTAAGCTTAGGTTTTGGTTTTTTTGGATTTGTTTTTGCTTTTGAGACAGGGTTTCTCTGTGTAGCCCTGGCTGTCCTGGAACTCACTCTATAGACCTCGTTAGCTTTGAATTCACAGACGTCCGCCTGCTTCTGCCCAGTGAGTGCTAGAAATTAAATGTACACACCACCATCGCCTGGCTCTGAGACAGGGTCTTAGTATGCATAGGATAGCCTTGGCTCCCTGTGTAGCCCAGGTTGGCCTCCAGGTCGTGATCTTCCTGCCTCAGTCTTTTAAGCACTGGGATTGCCTGGCTTGCATGTTGTTTCTAGGAATACATTTTTGTTTGTTTTTGAGACAGTCTCCCCTACAGAACCCTGGCTTTCCTGGAACTCAGAGATCCACCTGCCTCTGCCTCCCAAGTGCTGGAATTAAAGGTGTGCACCACTATACCCAGCCTGGAACTCATTATTATTACACTTTACAAAAGTGTCAGACTACATTGTTCCTCACCACAGAGTGGATCCAGATGTAGAACTCTCAGCTCCCTCTCCAGCACCATACTTTCATGCCACCATACTTTCTGTTTGTTTTTTTTTTCTTTTTTCTTTTTCTTTTTTCTTTCGAGACAGGGTTTCTCCGTAGCTTTTGGTTCCTGCCCTGGAACTATCTCTTGTAGACCAGGCTGGCCTCGAACTCACAGAGATCCGCCTGCCTCTGCCTCCCGAGTGCTGGGATTAAAGGCGTGCGCCACCACTGCCCGGCGCCACCATACTTTCTGCCATGATGGTAATAGACTTAAATTTTGAACTGTAAACCAGTCCCCCCCGCTCCATTTAAACATTTTTTCTTTATAAGAGTTGTCATGGTGTCTCTTCACAGCAATAAAACCCTAAGACAGCATCCAGTGTAGGCAGTACTGCATTATCAGATCCAGCACAGTGGCTCAGTGGGTAATGGCACTTACCACCAAGCCTGTGACCTGAGCTTTGGTCCCCAGAGTCCACATGATGGAAAGAAAGAATTGGCTCTCACAAAGTGTCCTCTGACTGCATGCCCTGACATGTGTATAACATAACCTCAAGCAAGAAGTAATTAGTAAATAATAGGAAAGTTAAAAGAAGAGCACATTCTAGGTGTAAAAAGAAGCAATAGAGAGAATATACAGAATGCTGAATATTATAAGAGCACAGGGGAGTTATAAAGGAGAGGGAATTTGAATTTAGGTATGGGGATTAAGGGAAGGCCTCGTCAAAACGATGGCCTTTGAGGAAAGTCTAAGGAAAGTTAGGGAGCATATGATGCAGATATGCCTGTCGTAAAAGAGAGCGACACAATTCAGTGAAAGGGTTTCAGGACATGAGATCAGAGAGGTAGCCACATCTAGTAAGCCACTATAATTGAAGTAGAGAAAGAAATTCAATGGCCAAGTTCCAATCGGAAGTGGTCGGGGACAGAGAAGAGCCTGCCAAAGGCAGGATGCTGAATGAAGTTGAAGAGGAAGACCACAGCGGGGTGGGCTTGTGGGAGCGGAATAAAGGAGGGGAACTGAGGAGGGGGTAATCAGCCATGGGGATGAGAACTGGCTTTTCCTTCCTGTGACCTTGACAAGAGATGCTGGAGGAGAGGAAAGAGCAGAAGGAAAAAAGACAAGTGCGGGGGGATCTGCCTGGAAACTGAGCGGTCAGGAAGGCGGAGGCAGGAGGATTCCAGGCCAGCTTGGGCTACAGAGCATACAAACAACATTATCAAACGTTCCTGTGAGAGAAAAAAAAGAATGAGGTACTGATTGTAAAATCTACAGGGGCCAAAAGAGGTTTTGAAAGATGGAACAAACCTTAAAGTTCACCAAGAGTAAAACCAGAGTAGAAAGTGAGTCTGGGTTAAGGGATTTAATGAAGTAAAAAGGAAAAGATGGACACTGGGGATTTGAGAACAGGTCACTGTCAGTATTCATATTTTTTTTTAAATAAAACCTCACTAAATAGCTTGATAAACAACTACTTTACCATTAAGTGCTCATTTTCAAAAATGCATACCAACAATCATTATTTTAAATGGGAATTATCGGATAGCTATGATGTCATACCATTGAGTCTTAGCTGATATTTCTCAACTATCTTCAGAAGTTCATTGCATGTCTCCTGGATGGAGTGAAAAACCTTGAAAAATAAATTTTATTAGGACAATTTAAAGAGCAATAAACAAATACAACTTTTAGCACTTCAAAATGAGAACATTTGCATAAAAGTATCTATTGGGTTTACTTCATAAATTATGTCAATTTATCAATATAGAGGCTGTGATGTACCTCTCTTAAACATATGTTAATTATGTCCATTTCATAAATACCATGTCTATTTTTATTGACTGGGATGTACTTCAGGCTTAGTTTTATCATTGATATAGAAAGCACATGGATAAAAAGAGATAAATGTGTGGAATTTATCTATAGAATTTGTTCTCCCTTCTGCTCCCAATTATCTGAACATGAGAAAGTTATATACAATATAAACAATTTCAACAACACAGGAAAAAGAGAGTACTTTAGAAACAGGTGATGCTCAATATGAGGCTTTTTCTAATAGTGTCAAAGCAAAACAGTCCAATAAGTTTATTACAAAAAAAAAAAAAAGATGTAGCCGGGCGATGGTAGTGCACGCCCAGCACTCGGGAGGCAGAGGCAGGCGGATCTCTGTGAGTTCGAGACCAGCCTGGTCTACAGAGCTAGTTCCAGGACAGGCTCCAAAGCCACAGAGAAACCCTGCCTCGGAAAAAAAAAAAAAAGGATGTATTGGGCTGGGCAGTGGTGGCAGATGCTTTTAATCCCAGCACTACAGAGGCAGAGGCAGCCTGGTCTACTGAGTGAGTTCCAGGACAGCCAGGGCAACAAAGAGAAACCCTGTCTCAAAAAAAAAAAAAAAAAAAAAACAACCCAGAAACAAAACGACGGTAACAAAAAGAATGTATGGGACAGGCGTAGTGGTACAGCCTGTGATGGCAGCAGAGGGGGAGGAGCCCTATACTGTGGTCACGCATAGCCACCACACGTAAAGCAGCACATGCAAGTTTATAGAATTCTAAAAGTTTAACTTCTGCTGTGCTTTGAGTCAAGATGACACAATGTGGTATAAATTCTAAAAGTGGCAAGAATTCTGGAAGTTCTCACCGTAAAGAAACACCACATGTTTGAGCTGTGTAACTAAAACATTAACTATCAGATATATGGATTGAAGGTTTCATGGTATCCACTTTATAAAAAGATTTATCTTTATTTTTATGTGTTATGTGTTTTGCCTGAAGGTGTGTCTCTAACCACATGCTTGTCTGGTGCTGCTGCAGGCCACAAGAGGGTGTCTGATCCCGAGACTGTGGGTGCTGGTAATCAAACCTGGGTCCTCTGTAAAGCAGCCGGTGCTCTTAACTGCTGAGTTTTCTCCAGCCCTCTCTCCATTAAACTCTTATGTTTTAATGTATCAGTTAAACTGAGTTAAGAATAAAAAGAATATCATGACACCAAATACAAACTGCTTTTGGAAAAGGCTGGGATGTGGCTTAGTGGTTGAGCACTTGCCTCCCATGCATGGGTTCAACCCAGAACTGCCAAAGAAAATTATTTGAAAATAAATTATTAAAACTACAAAAGCTTGCTTTTGGGTTATTTTTGTTTGGAATTTCCCCTCTTTGCTACTGTAGTTAATCAGAAACAGAAAATTAAGAAAATATCTGGTGAACTCTGACTTCAAAGTTAAGCCCACAAGATGAAGCCATATACCTGGTGCAACTCTTCATACATAAACTTTCCTATGTGGATTTCAGAGTGATCTCCTCTTACCCGGTCTTAAGCTGAAGAAATTCCGTGAACTGTCCAAAGGACCCTGACGTTTCTAGATGGGAAGTTCCACCCTCAGATTATTACGTTCTCAACATCACTAGGGAGCGTCACTGCTAATGTATGATTAAACCTGGGGAGTATTTATAAGAGTCGCTGGAGGAATAATAATAACTTTAGATGTGCTTGATAATGAATTAGATTTGGCATCTGGTCATGGCCATATAAAACTCAGTTTTTGGGGCTGGAGAGATGGCTCAGAGGTTAAGAGCATTGCCTGCTCTTCCAGAGGTCCTGAGTTCAATTCCCAGCAACCACATGGTGGCTCACAACCATCTGTAATGAGGTCTGGTGCCCTCTTCTGGCCTGCAGGCATACACACAGAAAGAATATTGTATACATAATAAATAAATAATAATAATAATAAAAAGCTTTGTAACAAAAACCCTCAGTTTTCAGGGGCTGGAGAGATGGCTCAGCAGTTGAAAACAAATAAAAAAACTGGCTGCTTTTCTAGAGGACCCGGTTCACCTCCCAGCACCATCTGTAACTTCAGTTCCAGGGGATCTGACGCCCTCTTCTGGCTTCCCCAGGCATGTGGTGCAAAGACACACATGGAGGCAAAACACTTACCATACATGTAAACTAAATAAAAAACAAAAATCAAATTTCAATGCATGAAAGATTACAAAATGATACAAACAGACTGCCCATCAAGATGAGGTGATTACGGCAGGAGGTTCCCACAGTCCTGCAAGACTTCCTACTACTGTATGTTATTTTCATGACGAATTTTACTTTTTACTTATGTTTTTTGGAGATGGGGGAGGGGTCTTATGCAGCCCAGGATGGCCTTGAGCTCACTAGATAGCTGAGGATGACCTTAAGTTCCTCATCCTCCTGCCTCCAACTCCCAAGTGCTAGGATTATATATGAGCCATCAAGCCTAGAATTTTTTCAGTTTTTAAGAAAAATAGTATAAATATGGAAGAACATAGCTGATTGCCAATATGTGTAATGGTCAGCATTACAATAAAATGTTATAGAGTGCCTAACCATATAAAACAACACAGAAATAGTTCCTTCTGTGGGATTGTGTGTGTAAACAGTTCTGAGTGTTGCTACAGCGGTCTGCTCACATCCCCACACATGAATCACAAGGATTACTCTGCAACACAAATAAATAGCAAATGCTTCTTTTCATTTCCTGCTTTTTCAAGACAGGACTTCTCCACTGTGGGTGGAGCCATCCCTGGGCTGGCAGTCCTGAATTCTGTAGGAAAGCTGGCTGAGCAAGCTATGGGGAACAAGCCAGTAAGTAGCTCGGCCTGAGGACCCTTCCCTGTCTGGGTTTCTGTTCTGACTTCCTTCAATGACGGACTACAGATGTGGAAGAGAATAACGGAAGTCTAAGTCAAATCTCTCCTCCCCAACTTGCTCTTGGTCATGGTGTTTCATCACAGCAGCAGCAACCCTAAGACGCTCCTTAAACTCCTTGGTGTGCATGTTTGCGATAATCTCCCTTGGAGTCCCAGATAATAACCAGTTCCACACAATACACAGTCTTCACATTTACCTCAAGCTTAGCATCCAGTTCTGCATCAGATGCAACCACATGCTCGTCTTCCTTCTTTCCTGTGGCTTTGATAAAGACCTGTTTAGTCTTCCAGTACTTCTTCTGCATTCTGTTCATCACCGACTGCTTATCTTCTGCTCTGAGCTGCCCACAGGAATCCATGGAGTAACTAAAACACACTAAGATTAAGCTTCTTTTAAAAACTTACCAACAGACTAAAAAATTACATTTAAAAACTTACAAGACTGACACCTAGCTGGCTTGTCAGTATTTAATTGACAAACCAAAATTGATATCAAATATAAACATGATAATGCTTGCTTTATATGATCTAGGTTTTTTCTATAATTACAACTATAGAAAGAGAGAGATAAAAAGATTAATATTACTTGTACTTTTGTTATGAAGCAAAAGTGTTAAAATTGTTATTCTATAGTTATGACTGGAAAGAATTCTATTTAATCAATATCTAATAGCAAACATTTCTTAGTTTATTACTCCCTCTAATTTTTAATTTTTGCAGCATACTGAAGAATGAAATTTGCATACATATATACATTTTAAATATATTTACAAAAGATGTTAGATGAATATAACTTAACATTTTAGATATGTAGAGATTCAGATACATGCACATCTTTAAATATTAAATAAATACTGTAATATCCATAAGACAACAGAAATGAAAACCTTAGATATGGAGGAGACATGTTATTAAGAAAGGGACAGACACTGTAAGCCATCATCATAAACTTGATGGGTGGTTGCTTTAACAGAGATGACACAGCTACATTTAAGAAAATGAAATGTGAAAAGCATTTTGTAAAGATGTTTAAAAGAGAGACAATAATAATTGCTTGATACTAAAGCCCAAAGTATTCCTGTGGGCCGGGGGAACAGAGCGGAGATGTCCGTGACTCAGTCGCTTGTCCTTGTCAGCAAAGAAACAGACTCGCTTCCCTTTCATTTGGAAACACTTACTAATTAAGTTAAAAGTAGTCTAATGTCTAAACTCCCAGGGCCAACAAGAGCAAGAAAGCCTACCACAACACAAAAGCTAGGGAGAAAAGAGGAAGGCAGCCTGACAGACAGCAGACCCCAATTTACTAGAGTAGGATTGCAATATTTAAAATCATATACAGGGGCTGGAGAGAGGGCTCAGTGGTTAAGAGCATTGTCTGCTCTTCCAAAAGTCCTGAGTTCAATTCCCAGCAACCACATGGTGGCTCACAACCATCTGTAAAGAGGTCTGGCGCCTCTTCTGACCTTCAGGCATACAGACAGAATATTGTATACATAATAAATAAATAAATAAATATTAAAAAAAATAAAATCATATACAAACTTCCTTTTAAGCACTAAAAATCCAAAGTCATAAAAAAGGCTAGAACGCAGGGTTAGAGTATTTGCCTGACATGTTTGAGGCCCTGACTTTAATCCCCACTAGTCCAGAATCAAACCCAATTAAAAATAAAGTCCTGAAAAACTAAAAACTACAATCCACAACCCAACCACCCATTTTAGGTGATGTGACATTCTCCTCAAACAAAATGACACAAAAGGTAAAAAAAAAAAATGTGTCAAAAGTAGATCTTACCAATGTATACCAAGAGTTAACATGTGGTATATATCAATAAATCATAGAAAATATTGAAACAAGTCAGAGATTCCAGTTACAAACTTCAAGTAGTCTAATTAAAAATCAACTACATGGGGGCTAAAAAAAATGGCTCAGGAAGAGCACTGGCTACTCTTCCAGAGGACCTAGGTTTAATTCCCAGCACCCACAGGACAGTTCTCAACCATATATAACTCCAGTCCCAGAGGAGTCAATTTCCTCTTCTGGTCTCTGTGGGCACCAGGCATGCACATGGCATACGTGTACACGGACATACATGCTGTCAAAACACCCATACAAATTTTAAAAAAATGAGTAGAGGGGATAGAGAGATTTCCCGGTGGTTAAGAGCACTGGCTGCTCTTCACAGGGTTCAGGTTCAATTCCCAGCATCCACATGGTGGCTCATGATTGCCTGTGTATACCTCCAGTCCCAGGGGAATCTGATGCCCTCTTCTGACCTCCGGGGGCACTAGGCATGTATGTGATGCATATAAAAATATACAGACACACATGGTGCACATAATACGTGCAGGCAAAACATCTACACATAAAATAATAAATATTTAAAACAGGGGTTAGATAGCCAGTGTGGTACACACCTCTATAATCCCAGTACTTGGGAGACTTGGGCAGACCTAGGATACACAGTGAGACTCTGTCTAAATAAAAAGACAGATAAATCTGGCTGAAATCACGTATGGACAGAAGGAATACAACAAAAGTGGACTCAAAATGAAACTATAAAAATGATCAGATTTAAGGAGAGACAAGTAGGTATTGGGAAGAGAAAAGCTATAAGAAAAAGACAAGATAGAGTGGGACAGAAAACACCCAGAGAAATACAATACCCCTCAAACTTGTGGATGACAGTCATGATGTATAAATGCAATGAGCTGGATAAACCTAGGTAGGATAACACAAATAACACAAATAAAATCTTAAGTAGGTACATCATAGACAAGCTGTTTAGATCCAAAGATGGAAAAACACTTTCAAAGCACAGAAAAATGTTTAATCATTCTTATTATTCTTTATTATTATTATTATTATTATTATTATTTTGAGATAGAGATTTTCACTCTAGCTCAGGCTGATCACTAATTGACCAAGTTGGCCTTTAACTCATGGTGATGCTCCTGCCTCAACATCCTGAGTGATGAGATAACAGACAGAAGCCACTGGGCCTGGATAAGAAAATCTATCTTGAGGGCTGGAGAGATGGCTCAGTGGTTAAGAGCACTGCCTGCTTTCTAAAGGTCCTGAATTGAATTCCCGGTAACCACAGGGTGGCTCACACCCATCTGTAATGAGATCTGGTGCCCTCTTCTGGCCTGCAGGCGTGCATGCAGGCAGAATACTGCATAATAAATAAATAAATAAATAAATAAATAAATATTTTAAAGAAAAAAAGAAAATTTATCTTGAAAAACAATGAAACAAAAATACAGATGAGAGCTAAGTTTTCAATAAAATAGCAAATTTAAGTAAAATAGAAAGCTAAACTTAAGATATTTGAAGGAAAAACCACATTGACGCGTAATTCTATATTTACGAAACCATCCATTAAAAATAAGCTATTGTGGGAGTGTATACCGAAATCAAAGAACAAAAGAGGTTGAGGCAGGAATACCATAAGTTCCAGGCTATCCTGGGCTACACAGTGGGACACTATCTTAAAATAAGAAAAAAGCAAAGATGCAAACAAAAATGAAGGCATTTTCAGATACAAAACTCAGAGAATTAATGGTTAAGGTATTTCAGAAATGCCACCATCTGGCTAGATTATAGCTTCAGCGTTTGCCCATCACTCCTGTTGCGTGAGTTCAATCCCCAACATGGCTAACAACAGGAATAGCATATGTTTGGGCACACACGATAGCGCTGGTATTGTTGTCACTTCTGGATGGCGAACTTTGTCATCAGAAATGTATGGTCACGGCGTGATATCTCAGGATAGAGTTCAATTCCAGAACTCACACCCGCCTCCTGAAAGTTGTTCCCCCATCATGGTACATGCATGCACACACCAATAAGTTTAAAAATGTAAAATGCCAATAGTTCAGCCAGGCCAAGTGGCTCAGGCCTTTAATACCAGCACTTGGGAGGCAGAGGCAGAGGTAGGGGGATCTTTTTAACTTTGAGGCCAGCCTGGTCAACAAAGAGAGTTCCAGAAGAGCCAGGGCTATTACACAGAGAAACAAACCCTGCCTTGGAAAAAAAAAAAAAACAAGCAAAGAAACCAAAATGTCATCAGTTCATCGTTAATTGATGGGAAAAGAAAATGTGGCATATTTACGTAATAAATATTACTCAGTCATAAGAGAGTTACTGACAATGTGTCTGGACATGCTGAGTGGAGTAAGTGGGGACCCAGAACACAAAAACAGCAATACAGCACCCTTCAACCTGCTTCTGCCGCCATATTGCCTTCTCTTCCTCCCCTCTCTGCATTTGAAGGATCCTTGTGATTACATCTAAGCTACCCAGACAACCTGTTTCTACCTCATGAGTCCTACCAACCTGAGAAGTCACTTTTGCCACAGAAGGTAACAGCTCTCTGGAATCCAAGACCCTGGTGACTAGATGTTATCCCAAGTTTTTATCCTTGTTTAGCAAAAGAAAAGGCTCAGGTAATTCACTTGGGAAAGGTACCTGGAAGTCTTAAAATGGCTTCGTTCTGATTTCATACAAGAGAACTGGAGAAGGGTCTTTTCCAATGTTTGTAATACTGGTTTATTGATGCCAGTTTTCATGTGAGTCTGTTTATTGTTCCGGAAGGGCAGACTATGTTTTCTAGAGGCTTTCATGGTCGACCCTTTATTTCACAATGATAGCTATAGATTTCCTCTGAGGCAAATTCAGATTACACTTCATTATGTTCATGGAATTTCTTGGCCACAGCTGGGAGGGGTGCAGAGATGGTGTCACCTGAACATCCGAGTGCTGCCAACACTCGGAACTCTCATTCCGTGAATTCTGGGGCCTGTGCTCCTGCGGGAGGGAGGGAGCCAGTGTACCCCATCCTGTGCGTCACAACATTTACAGCAGGGCAGGTCTGCTCTGAGAGCCATCGTCCCATGAGCGAGCCTCAAAGCACTTGTTCACTTCTCTTCTGGCAACTTTGTTACCCTGTTTATTGTGCCTGGTGTGTGTGTGTGGGGGGGGGGGGGAGGGAACACATGGAGGTCAGAAGACAACTTACAGGAGTTGGTTCTCTGTGTTTCTAAGGATGCAATTTAGGTTCTTAGGCTTGGAGTCACACCCCTCCCTGCTGAGTTATCTCTTTTCCCCTTGCCTGAGGGGGACCATCAGCTATTCTTTTGACATGCTATTGGGTGTGTGTAGGAAAGTGACTAATTACCATTATTAGTCCATAGACCTGGGGAAACAGACTACATGACTTACAGCAGCTTGTATGTGAATATTCTACCTGTTCTCTATTTTGCTTTAATGTCCAACATTTTTATTGTTATTTTGTCTTCCAAGAATACTAAGATCCCTCATGTACCCAGAGTGCCTTCTGGTGTTTTGTTGGCCGCACACACACGTGTTGTTTGC